GGTACACTAGGGATCTAGAACCAAAGATATTAAGTCCCCTTCCTTCCCAGCTTAACAATAACTCCTTAACACATTCTTGACTCAGTCCCTGTTCTGAAATAGTTCTTCAAAATAGTTTTAGAGGGCACACACTGACACTACACAACGTAAACAGGGTTTTCAAGAAGCATGTTGTATCGAATTGTTACATACGTGTTTGTTTTGGCAGCCCTTTTTAAATGTCACCTGTAATGACTGAGGCAAGAAAGAGCATTTCGGTTCAAGATCTTCCATAATCCCACAATGGCTAAACCTAGGTAGGAAACTGTAGCTTTCACACTACCAGATATCTCACTTTATTTTTTTTAAATGTTTTTAAATGTTTATTAACTTTTGAGAGAGAGAGACAGAGAGAGAGAGAGAGAGAGAGAGAAAGAGAGAGACAATGCGTGAGTGGGGGAAGGGGAGAGAGAAAGAGACACAGAATCTGAAGCAGGCTCCAGGCTCTGAGATGTCAGCAGAGAACCTGACGCAGGGCTCCAACTCACGAGTGGTGAGATCATGACCTGAGCGGAAGTCGGATACTTAATCGACCGAGCCACATAGGCACCCCCAGATATCTCACTTTAGAACTAGAATAATGGGGAAGAAGAAATTACTGAAAATTATTGGAAGAAATACTCTATTATAGCTTCAAATACATTTTCAGTTCCCCAGAAAACACGGTCACTTGATAAAAATCTCCCTTACAAAAAGGAGATTTTAAGGTATAAAGATGGTGACTGCTTTCCAAATTTGTAGTTTATTTTTTTAATAAACATTATTTTAGATCAGGCTTAGATTTATTTTTACAAGTGCAAAGATAATACATAGATTTCCCATTTACCCCGTACTCACTTTTATTAACATTTTCCGTTAGTATATTTGTCACAACTGATAAACCAATATTGACACATTATTAACTAAAGTCTGTATTTTATTCAGATTTCCTTGGTTCTCCCTAATATCCTTTTTCTGTTCCAGGATATACTATTTTTATCTCCTTCATGTCTCCTTAGGCTTCTCTGGACTGTGACAGTTTAAGACTTTCTTTTCTTTGTTTATGTTAGCCCTGAGAGTTTTGAGGAGTACAGGTTGGGTATTTTTTGAATGTCCCTCAACTGGGATTTATCTGATGTTTTTTTCTTGGTTCCATTGGGATGATGGGTTTGGAGGGAGGACAATCACAAAGATGTCATTTCATCACATCATACCAAGGGTACACACTATCAACATGACTCATCACTACTGATGTTAATTTTGACCTCCTCACTGACAGGTCATGGTTGTCAGGTTTTTCTAATGTAAAGTTACTCATTTTTCTCAGTCCATACTTGGTAAGGAGCCAGGAGTTATGTTCCATCTCCTTGAGGATAGAGTATCTACATAATTTGGACAACTTCTATACCTTAGATTTGTCTGTTCGCCTCCATTTGTTTATTCAAATATTTATATCAATGTGAACTCATGAATATTTATTTTATACTTTAGGTCATCATCCAAAACTATTTTACATTGTTGCCCAGCTTTGTTCATTAGGAGTTCTTTCAGATGGCTCCTTGGACCTTGGGCATATACTTGCAATTGCAGGCTACTACTGCTGCTGTTTGAGCACTTCCTTATTTTCTGGCACTACAAGGTGTCCAGGGCTCATCTTGTCTATTTCCTCCAGTCCTGGCCATTCCTCCAAGAAGCCCTGGTTTCCTTACTGGAGAATGGTAAAAACCAAGATCCAGGCACTGTGCTTTTAGACCCTCTTGGCTGACAAGCAAGGAAATTTATGCTTTCATGCTAACCCTTGGAAAACACTTACTTATAATTACAGTATTTCTACATACAACCATCTGTATCCCTCTTATGCCAAACATAAGTTTACAGTGATGCCTCCAATTCTAATCTATCAGCACATAGATCATTCTAGGGTCCTCCCCTGGCTCTCTGTAACCTCCCACTTCAAAAGTAGGAAACCTGGTTCCCAGGTTTACATAATTGACTGAATTGCTCAATTCCAGTAGACATGTATAGTGGTCCTGGACTTGTTAACCTGTATCCCCATGGGAAATACCTTAATCAATTACAGCACAGTACTGAGGTGCACTGCCTTTTGCCTTTAGTTTTACAGACTCCCCTCATTTCCAAAGTGACAGGTCAGCACCTTCTCCCCCAACTCCCGCCAGCGAGGTTGTTTCATACATTTTTAATACAGTTAGATTGTTTGGTCACAATGTGCATTCCAGCCTGGGATCCTCTGATCTCCTAAATGATAATTATTTATATATTATCAAATTAAATAATTTAAGTTTTATTTTCAACATGGGGCAGGGGGAGGGTGACAAGGGGAGAAGGTACTGATGGAACTCAAAAGGGAAGGTATTAACAATTTAGAGATTTTCTTAAGTTTCTACTATCTGATTAAAAATAGAAATTTATTGAAAACTAATGTAATTATTTTTTAAACATATTGAAATCTTTGCACATAAAAATGGACATGGTAAAGATCAAAAGTAAGAAACATAGTTCCCTCTTATAATTGAAACATGGATTTTTCTAGGAGCTTTCAGTAACTTTATCCAATTTTCCTAATTGCAAAATGAGAATAAAACATTTCTTATCCAGGACTAAGAATTTATGGTAGGTATGCAGATAGTATTCTGCCACTCAAGGATAAAATGTTAGTTTTAATAAAAGCAGACTCTATGCCTTGGAGAAAATAAGCTCTACCCAATTATATTTTTCATACAATAGTAAAATTTTCTATTTTCATACAATCATATTCATAAAGCCTAGTAACCCTGATGATGATTAACTTCTTATCACTGAGGAATTTTTTCTGTCTAGCAACCTGGGATCCTTAGGCATTTTAAAGTCCTTAAACTATCCAAACAGTTACCAATATACACCTAGATTTATTCTTAAGCATGTGGGAGAGTTTAAAAAGATTTAGTGGCCATAAATTACCCAAAAAAAAGACAAAAGGGAGAGGAAACATCTTTTGAGGATTTCTTTTTTAAAACAAAATTTATTATCCTCGTAAGGCTGCATAAATGCCATTTATTTACTAACAGATAATCACAAATTTCCAAGGATACAGTTTAAACTCCTGCTATGATCATGCATTTTATTGAATTATCAGAAGAGGAAACATTACAAGTAAATTTGCCAAGACAACCTTTGCAGGAACAAGATGTGCCCAAGCACCCCTTCAGTTCCTTTACAGAAAGCAGCATTTATCCATACATAATTCACACCTGACATGGAACGTAATTCAAAAATCTAATCTCTTTCTGTGTAGTGAGCACTGAGAAGGAAGCCATGTGTGAAGCCATTAATGAATATTTCTTCCAATTACTATTAATAGATTCTTCTTCCCCATTATTTTATTTCAAAAATGAAATATCTAGGAGTATTAAAAACCGATTTCCTAATCAAGTATTCAGAGACCATATGTTGTTAAAGCTCACTGAAAACCCTATCCTTAATAATTTCAAAAAATTTTAAAGATACAATTAGAACACCTGTTTCTTTGAGCCTGGCTAGCTCAGTCAGTTAAGTGTCCAAGCTTTTGATTTCTCCTCAGGTCACGACCTCCCTGGTTTGTGAGAGATTAAGGCCGATCGAATGTACTGACAGCATAGACCTGCCCAAGTTCTTTCTCTCCTTCTCTCCCTGCCCCTCCCCTGCTGGCACTCTCCCTCTGTCTCAAAATAAATAAATAAACTTAAAAAGAAAAAAAAGAAAGAACACTTGTTTCTTTCTCTCCTGGTTTCCCAAGAATATCCAATAAGTTATTCTATACATAAATCAGTATGCTTTTGTACTGGTGTAAGTTTGTACCAACCCTGCAATTTCCCAAAGACTGTCTCAGACTCCAACAGAAAAAGACAAGAACTGAACTCATTGTGAGTGGGAGACCAGAGCAGAGAGGTAAGATTGGAGGCAAGGAATAGGATAATTAGAGCCCAAAATTAAAGTGATGCTTTAAATAAAGCAAATCTAAAAGGTTTGAGGGGGAAGGGGGTTAGGGAAGAGATCTAAGCAATTTCCAGAGACGACCACTTCTGTCAAGGGAGTCTGATGCCATAAAAGAAGGCGCTCAAAACAAGATCATGGAGATCAGCATTCCTATCGATTTGCAGTACATTAGCACAAAGAAATAGGTAAAATAATGAGGAATCAAAAAAGTTTGATTTAAAAATTCTCAAATTCTAAAAACCTCGAATAATTGTGGGAGGAAGGGCAAGAAGAACAGAACAAATGGCTGCCTAACCTAACGTGCCCTTGGAAATTGATGCTTCATCAATTCCTTCTCTCCACACGAAAAACCCAGAGGCTCCTGGTGTCAAATAGGAAGAATCAGCGCCAAAGGAGCAAGTGTGCAGTCTCAGCAGGACCGCCACACCCCACAGAAACACACCATTCCAGTGTTGTGGGGGTTCACGCTACCTGACAACCGACAGTCTGGGAGGCACAGCTGCCAAGACACAGGTACAGTAAGAAAAGTCCCCAAGCAGAGCTGGCGTTATTTGGAACCACTTTAGCAGGCCTCACACCAACAAAACTTGGCGGCAGTTTGTTCCCTCAGGGGGAATCTGAAGGAACTTTGAGAAAGTATTTGCTCAGAGCCACATACCGCTTCCATCTACAGCACTCAAGTCGCCAGCAGAGATCCCAACAGAGAGCTAGGCTCGGGATTTAATCATTAGGCTTGCCTTTCAATCTCCTAACTCAGAAATACAGGGGCTTAATAAAGTAATCTTTTCATCCTGACTTAAGGGAAATAATCCCATTAAGAGTTGAGCATGCCTGGGAATTTACCTGCTTCACGTGGGTCTAGGGATTTGAGGCTAGATGGGTAATGCCACAGAATAAAGAGGAGCATCTTTGCAGAGACTGTCCCCTGTCTGAGAGTGTCCCTGCAAAGGCTTCTCTCCCAGTGTGTGAGATGAACGGGCAGGGGGCTGTGGGGCGCCCAGATAACCTACCTGCCACTCTGGTCTGAGGTCCAGGTAACTGATCGCCCCTGGGGTTTGGTGCTGTACCGTATCCTTATGGCGTGAGGAAAGTCAGTAGCTGTCTGAGCCCCTGTCTTCCTGATCTGCAAGCTCCAAGTGTCAGTGTCAAACAGGAGTTCCCCACAGCCAGGAGCCTGGCTGCAACGAGCATAATAGTCTAACTGCTCCCTCCAACGATCTGCAGGCAGAGTCACAAGTTCACACACAATCTGATTCCTGAGCTCCTCAGAAACAACTGTGAGCTTGGGAGACCTTGTCAATTTTTCAATACCTGGCACAGCAGCAACATCCACCTCCTCAACCTTTAACACAGATAAATCACAGCAGTCCAACACTAGCAAAAAATCCTCACTCCCATGATTCCCTGTGTCACAGCAGTACTTTGAGCTAGAAATCCCAGAAGCCTGTTCCCGGTTGTCATGGTTACCATCTTTACCAGAAGTATCTTTTTCACCTTTACCACAGATTGTAAAATCATTAGATCTTGTTTTAGAGGAGAAGGTCCTCGTATCTGTCACAGGACTATGGCAGGGTTCAGGCATCCTAAATCTGCAGGCTTCGTTTGACTCTGTTCGGCAGGGTTCCTTGGTGGACCCACTCTGTTTCTTTCCAGACTCAAAGAAAAGCACTATGGTGCCCTCGATGATTTGACTTTCAAAGTCCACATCTAAATCCAGTACATAGTGCTTCACAAGTATGTGGCTGGTGTTGGCCATGAGAGGTAGGTCATCCCGGGAAGGGTCCAGCTTTGTGTCCATGGCGTTGGTTGTTGTTCGAGAGCTTTGTTAAAATCTCAGAAGGGGCTTCCTAGCTGCCTTAATCTTCCAGAATCATAAATGGCCGCTTACCAAAAAAACACCTGATGTCACAATTATGGCTCTTTCAGTCCCCTGGCAAAGAAGAAAAACACCATTAGACAAAATTCCAAACAAGACCCTAAGTGTTCCTACAACCACTGCTTCACTTCAGCAAACTGACTCCCTCCTTAAATAATCCCCCAATGTGGTAGAAGCTCATGGCTAGAAGGCAGACTAATCTTTCTGACTGACATCAAAGAAGGCTGCATTATGGGCTTCTAAAAATATTTCAATTACCAGTGGAATGAAAGGGGCCTCCACAAAGCCTGAAGATTCTTGCTCTTAACTAGAACAGTCCTTGTTCTGGGAAAGAGCAATTGTTATGCAAAAGCATAACTGAGCATCACTGCGCCTCTTGTTTTAAAAGATATTAAATGCATCATTTCTAATTTTGTGCATCAAAGATAAGTGATTGTTTCTCTCCTGTGATTCTAAGTAACAAATGTGAACGAAGGCTAAATGGCCTCATACGTTTTATTCTTTGAGAGTAATAATTTAATACATAAAATGTAACTCCAGGGATTAATGTACTTTTCACATTAGGCCTGCTCTCATATCAGCACTTCCAGTAAATTACAGGAAAATGAGCCAATTTACCAGGAGTGCATTCTAAGTATTCCTTTGAGATTGTTCATGGAGATTTTTCAAATTTATAGTTAAATACTCAAGGTATATCATTACATCTTAATAGCTGAAAACCCATTAACATTCTGGATAATAGCCTTCTTGTGGCAAACAAAAAGGTCTTCTCATTTGAAAAAAAAATAGTATGCAAATACCTATAAAAGGAAAAAGAGAAATTAAAATGTAGAAACAGATGTTGTAATAAAATGCCCAAGTTCTTCATAAAAGTTCTGAATCAAAATGTATTCTTATTTTATAATAGCAATCCGGCTACAAGAAAAATTATTTGAAATTATTTCAGTCCCTGTTGTGTACCTAATTTCTTTCAGCGTATGCTGTTCTTTATTTTTTATTCTTTTACCAAAAATGAAAACGGGGGAAAGAAATAACAACTCTGACAGGGTAGATATATTTAAAATAATCTTTGTATTTCTACATATCAGGAGGTATTCTTGTATCAACTACAAAACAATATTGCTTGCTTGACTTTTCAAGTAAAACTGAACCCTCCCTTTTTATTCTGTTTAACTCCTCCTCACTTCCCCTCAGATTTTATCTGCCTGTCTACTAGACTCTTATTTCCTTCCTTTTAGAATCTCATTCCAGAAACCAAACCTATTGAATTTTCATTTTCTACCTCTCCACAGGCTACTTCCTCAGGAAAATCCTACCTACCCTAAGCAGGGAGGGGGGTGGAAAACCTGGCTTCCTGCATCCTTGTCCAATCTGGTTTCAAGCTATTTTCCCGGCATGGAGACCATACTCCCTTTGCATCCGTGTCCTCTAGCCAAAGGGCCTGCTCAACAGCCTGTCCCTAAATATGACCTGCTCTTTCGACTAGGCAGTGGCCATACCTGGAGTGTTCCCATAGCCACCTGCCAAATTCCATTCTGTCTCCACACCCAGTTCAAGTGCAATCACCTCCTGAAATCCTTCCTTACTCTCTATTCTCCCACTCTTCACCAAACTGTATGTGGCAATATACAGTTTGACTTTAAAAGTAATAGGAACAGAGAGAAATCAGGGATGCAAAGAATATTTTGAGATTACTTTATAAAGAAGTTGGCACTCGCCTGGGCTCTAGAAGAATCAATAGGCCAAAGGAGGAAGACAGTGTTTTCTTTTCTGCATGAAAGCAATTGAACTTGTCATGTAAAGAATAATTCATAGTCTAACCCTAATAGATCCTTTCATTTACTTGTAAAAATTAATATAATTTAAGAATAAAATGTATTCTATAGAGCAGTTGTCACCACTTTTGTCCCTGGTGGCCGATAATAAGGCAGCCTGAGAATCCCATCCATCCAAGCCTGTTAACATCACCTTGTCACCCTAACTGGAATCATTTGCTTCTCTTCCTTGGATTCTTTTTTTTTTTTTAATTTTTTTTTTTCAATGTTTATTTATTTTTGGGACAGAGAGAGACAGAGCATGAACGGGGGAGGGTCAGAGAGAGAGGGAGACACAGAATCGGAAACAGGCTCCAGGCTCCGAGCCACCAGCCCAGAGCCCGACGCGGGGCTCGAACTCGCGGACCGCGAGATCGTGACCTGGCTGAAGTCGGACGCTTAACCGACTGCGCCACCCAGGCGCCCCTCTTCCTTGGATTCTTGAGTACACTCCCCATAGCTGCAGTTCTAAATCGTTTCTTCTTTTAACTCTCCAGTTCCATGCCTGCTGACTCATTCTCAGCTAATTATTTGGCCTCCCACTTTACTGAGATTATTTCAAATCTCTGAAACTCCCTCATGGCTCAAGTATCTGTAGTTCTTCACAACTATTGCCTTCTCCTTTTTGACTCAAAGAAAACAACAGTATCCCTTCTCCCCAAAGCTAATTCCTTTCCCCTTGAATCCTAGCTTCTGGGGTATGAAAGGGCCAAATGAATAGCACTCTTCTTGCCCACTGAAATTCTGAACACACTGAAATATAAGATGAGGCTATGGCAGAGGGATACCAAAATATCACTATTATTACAGGTGGAGGTTAAACTGGAGAATATGGTTTAATGTGGGAGCCAAAGGTACCTGAAAACTCAATCCCAAAATTCAACAGATTTACCCCCAGGGTCACAGGAAACACTGGATCAGGTCAAAGCTCCCACAAAAGGTACCCTCTCCAGGTAAGAATTAGGGCCTGGAGAAGTAAGGAGAATAGCCCTCCAAGGTCAGGACTGCTGGCCCAAAAGCAAAAGGGAGGAAACAGAACATGCTCGATTTCTTCTTCCCGCTCCACCTCCTTTAAGAGGGAAGGAGTAAAGTGATCAAGAATTTTTCAGTAATTAAGCACCCTTCACAAGACAGGAAATATCAGAAATAAGAAGCTTTCCCTCAAACTCTATCTCCTCCTACTAATTTGGAATCTTCTTACACTTGACAAAAAATGTTTTTCTCTTGCCAACATCTTCTTCCTCTCAGTGTTTCTATCCTATTCCCAATGTTTCAAACACTCCCAGGGGCTGCCATCTTCAAAAACAAACATTGCAATATATCCATATCAAAACACTATGTTATACACCTTAACCTAATACAATGTTGTATGTCAATTACATCAATTAAACTGGAAAAAAATAAAAACAAACAAAAACATTCGACCCTGCTGCCTATGTTAACTAAGTTTTTATTTCTTTGCATTCTGGAACTGACAGATTCCTTAGGGCTTAGTGTAACTGTCTAGTTCTACAAATCATGACAATGAGGCCCAGAGAGGTAAAGCAATGTGCCAAGGTCACTCATTTCTGATGCTTTTCTCCTTGCCAATTCTTTCCCTTGCAATTCTCATCCTCCAGCTCTTGTGGCCATTTTCTTTATGTTGTCCAAGTCATAAATCAAATGTCACCTCCTAAGACTGTCTTCTGTATTCCCATGCTCCCTTTCCTATCCTTCAAGTCATATGGACTAGACTCATTTCATACCGTAATAGCTTTGTGGGGAAAGGAGAATTTTTAGGCCAGCCCCAGAAGATTCATAAGATCACGGTCACCTCTGCATGGTTTCCGACCTAAGCTGTGTACAATATGTATGTAAGTCCGTTAAACTCGCTGCTTATTACACCTATTTCCTCCTTGCCTTGGATTCTTAGAGGACCTGAATCTCCTTTCTCGACAAGTTCACAACTCTCACTGATGTCAATCAGGGTCGCAGCCCCACGTTTAGGGAAGAACTGAACTAACTGTGGTTGCAAATGCGAGTACGTGGCCACCTTGTAAGGCTTCTCTCAGCAAATAGTAACCATATTTCTAAGCAGTCTGTTGACTTCAGCACTTTTTGCTATTATTGTGCTCCAATTTAAAATGCCAGTTTGTCTCACTGAAGCATTTTTCCATTCTCTGTCATAAGCCATAACATATAAAATTCCCCCCTTTATCAAACCCAATGGTTAGTTTCCAGTGGCTAACCACTGCTGCCTCTAAAATAAGTGTACTGCGTGGTATGTATTTTAAACGCTTAAATGATTGTCTTAGCAACACCATTAAAGGCTTCAAAAGGATTAACATACAGCAATATTTTTCTTGAGCAAGGTGGGAGGAGGGGGCAAAAGAGAGGATCAAATACTAAACAGTTATGGCACACTGAAGAAACTGCCCTGCCACTTTCACTCGCCAAACAGAAGTGCACACACCTACAAATGTGTAAAATAGCCTCTGTAGAGCCATTCCAGATACCTCTAAAGAAAATAATTTCACTCTCCTTTCAAGCTACAAAGCCACATGTGTGATCCTCATGACCCTTCCCTTATCCTGCCTCATTCTGCAGTTACCTCTACCCTTCCATGGTCTAAAAACAACTAGAGATTCCTGATTCATCTTTGTATGCATGGCCACGTTGAGTAGAACGTACACAGTAGGTTCTCAGCAAATATCTGTGGAATTGACATCTGAGGTCATTTATGACTTCTATGTCTAGCTATCTACAGAGCAGGGATTCCGGCTTGCGTAGGTTCTAGTAGAAAGCTATGGCTTAGGGGCGCCTGGGTGGCGCAGTCGGTTAAGCGTCCGACTTCAACCAGGTCACGATCTCGCGGTCCGTGAGTTCGAGCCCCGCGTCGGGCTCTGGGCTGATGGCTCAGAGCCTGGAGCCTGTTTCCGATTCTGTGTCTCCCTCTCTCTCTCTGCCCCTCCCCCGTTCATGCTCTGTCTCTCTCTGTCCCAAAAATAAATAAACGTTGAAAAAAAAATTAAAAAAAAAAAAAAAGAAAGCTATGGCTTAACAAACATCAAAAAACATCTTTCTCCAAATGGTTCTCACTTTTTCTTCTCATACCTGTCCCTCTTTATG